CTTCCAGGACAGATTTGTTGGTTCTTTTAGCAGTCCATGGTACTTTCCATGTTCTTTGCCAGCACCACAACTCAAAAGCATCAACGTCTCTTCAGTCTTCCTTATTCATTGTTCAGCTTTCACACGCATATGAGACTACTGAAAATACCATGGCTAGGGTTGGGAGCTCTGGTAGCATAGTGCCTAAGGCACTTGACTGCTAACCAGAAGGCTGGTGGTTCAAACCCACCAGCCACTCCTCGGAAGGAAGTTTGGGCAATCCTACTTCCGTAGTGATACTGCCTCGGAAACCCAAGGAGGGGTCGCTATGAGTCGGGGCCGACTCGACGGCAAATAACAACAACAACAACAGGGTTAGGCGCACCTTAGTCTTCAAAGAGATATCTTTGCTCTTCAGCACTTTAAAGAGGTCTTTGGCAGCAGATTTGCCCAGCACAATACACTGTCTGATTTCCTGACTGCTATTTCCATTGGTGTTGATCGTGGAACCAAGTAATATGAAATCTTTGTCAACTTCAATCTTTTCTCCATTTATTGTGATGCTGCTTATTGGTCCAATTGTGAGGATTTTTATTTTGTTTATGTTGAGGTGTATTCCATACTGCAGACTGTAGTTTTTCATCTTCATCAGTAAGCGTTTCAAGTTATCTTCACTTTCAGCAAACAAGGTTGTATCATCTGCATATCACAGGTTGTTAATGAGTCTTCCTCCAATCCTGATGCCATGTTCTTCTTTATATAGTCCAGATTCTTGGATTATTTGCTCAGCATACAGATTGAATAAGTATGGTGAAAGGATACAACTGTGACACACTCCCTTCTTGATTTTAAATCAAACAGTATCCTCTTGTTCTGTTTGAATGACAGCCTTCTAGTCTATGTACAAGTCTGTGTTCTGGAATTCCCACTCTTCTCAGTGTTACCCATAATTTGTTATGACCCACACAATTGAATGCTTTTGCATAGTCCATAAAACACAAGTAAACATCTTTCTGGTATTCTTTGCTTTCATCCAAGATCCATCTGACATCAGCAATGATATCCCTTGTTCCATGTCCTCTTCTGAATCCAGCTTGCATTTCTGCAAGTTCCCTGTCAATATACTGCCACACCGTTTTTTAATTATCTTCAGCAAAATTTTACTTGCATGTGATATTGTTTGATAATTTCCATGTTCTGTTGGATCACCTTTCTTTTGAATGGGTACAAATATGGATCTCTTTCAGTCAGTTGGTCAGGTGGTTGTCTTCCGAATTTCTTGGCATAGATGAGTAAGTATCTCCAATATGACATCAATTTGCTGAAACATCTCAATTGGTATTCCGTCAATTCCTGGATTTTGCCAATTCCTTCACTGAAGCTTCAACCTCTTCCTTCAATATCATTGGTTCTTGATCATATGCCACCTTCTGAAATAGATGAACATCAACCAATTCTTTTTGATACAGTGACT